TTGATGGTAACAAAGGAAAAATGACCATAATCTGACACATTATTAACATAAATACATTATATGTGAATATAACTACTCTATTGATGCCAGAAAGCCAACATAGCTATCAATATTCCAACTTACTCATTCCGACACCATTTCTATTCATTCAATAAGCAAGTATAATATAAAAGGAAATAAATTACCTTGTTTTGGAAATCGACTAGATTAGAAGCAGCCTTGTACACATTATCCACAACCTGTTTGAAAGAAGACCTGAGAGGGAGCGACTTGTCGAGCCAAACACCGTTGGCAAATGACAAGCGGGGCCCACCTGCGGGGCTTCCGTCGGCTGAGACAACGGAAACGAGCTCGGAGGAGAAGGAGTTGAGTTGGTCACTGGATTCTGACTTGAGGAAAGAGAGGAGCTGGTCGAGGGTGGAAGCCTTACTGCCAGCTGCGATCATGCTAAGCACAACGTGGATCGACAGCGGCGAGAACACCAGGTTCGAGCCCTTGGCTTCAGCTTGGAGAACGTTCTTGGTCAGGTTGAAAGCGACGTCGGTTTGATTTCTGATCGATTGACGGAGATCCATCGCCGGAATGTGAAGCTGTAAACAAAACTTGAAGATGAAGAGAATAGGCTTTTGCTTTGATTGATTCGAGCGATTCAAAGGACCAACAAGGACGGTGATTTAAAGGAGGAATAAATTAGAAACCGTTTAGAAGTGAGGTTGGAACGGATATGACCCTAAAATATCTAATAGAATTTTATGTTTTAAAATGAAATTCAAAACATTAAAATTTATTATAAACTGTTTGCAAGCCTTCATATTTATAAAATTTATGAGTGTTTTTTTAATTTAAACCCAGGAAATAATTTGTATACTTGATAAAAGTTTATTAAAAACATATTTTAAAAATGAATATTTCGATTTAAAATATTAATTTATTATTAATTAAACTAAAAAATTTAAATTTAAATATTCTTAAATTCTTATTAGATTATAGATTGTGTAGAAAATCATTTTAAAAATAATAATTTAGTGTCAACATCTCATTAATCTGGTAGGATGCGACACTACATTCATTATGGAATGTCAGAAATTTGAATCTTAAACTGGGTTTGAAAGGTCTTCCTTGCCTTTATAGTACCCAATCGAAATAAGATGATTCGAGATTTTTTGAATGTTTAGTGGGCAGATAGAGATTAATTTATTTTTACAGAAATTATTTCTTTAAAAGTATTTTCTTATAAAAATTACAGGGCTTGAAAAATCATATAAATTATTATATATAATGCAAAATTTTCATTTTGCTATGGGAAAATGAACCCATAATCTCAATACTCCTAAATAGATAAAGTAAAACATGATATTACATATCAAATAACAAGATGAACATGTAAAGAGTTATATAAATAAATAAATAAATAAATAAATAAATAAATAATTTATATAAATATTAGATATATTATAATATAATAATAATAAAATAAATATTGTGTATACATTCCATTTGTAAGAAATGTTAGAATTATTCGTAAACGACGTCGTTTAAGGGGTTACAGACATGATACAAATGTGCAATATTATCTTTAAGATGTTGGTACACCACATTTTTTTAGTTAGGTGGAGATATGACGATATCCAGAACTAGGGCTGTAAATGAGACGAGACAGATCGCGAGCTACTCGAGATTGACTCGATCAAAGCTCGATAAATACTTGGATCGAATGGACTCGACTCGAGCTCGAGCTCGACTCGAGTTCTTAACGAGCCGAAACGAGCTACTCGATATTCGACTCGAAAAGCTCGTGAGCAGCTCGAAAATATAATATATTAAGATTTTATTTTTTTAGAAATAAATTATTAATAATATTAATATTTATGTATTGATTTTTTTATAAAAAAAAATACAATAAGATTTCTTGTATTTAAGGTTCATGTTCGAGTTTGAGTTTGAGGCTTCAATCGAGTTAAGTTTAATAATTTTTTTTCATTTCGAGCCTTTTCGAGCTGCTCACGAGCTTCAGTTTCGGATTTCGAGTTCGAGTCGAGCTTGAAAATTTTAAGCTCGCGAGTTTTTGAGTCGAGCTCGACTCGGCTCGTTTACACCCCTACCCAAAAACTGGCTTAGGAATTAAGCAAAGAGTGTTGACTTTTGACTTTTTCACTGGATCTTAAGACCCTTTTGATAACTCTCATTGGGCCCGCGTACTTGATTTGCTTAGGAATTAAGCGAAACAGTTGACTTTGACCATTTTGAATTTAAAGGCCCATCGGGCTCAAATCCATTTTTTTCCAAGTTTCTTGGTAAAGAAACAAGCACGTTGACTTGACGGACAAATCTATAGTTTAGTTGAGTATCTCTTCAATCCTTATCATATAATTAAAATATTATATTTAGGGTTATTTAAAATTCATTTACGAGTGAATAAGCTTATTTGGCCGGTTGAATTATCTTTGTTCTCTTCTGTCCCTTTAGGTAATGGGTTTTAGATCTACTAATAGGAGTGTGCAAAAATACTTGATCCGGTCGACCCATCGACCTGAACCTAAAAATTGGATAATTTTTTTAAAAAATTACCTGCCGGATCGGGCCGGGTAAAAAATTAAATTTTTCCAGGTACCCGGTCACCCGAATACCCAGTTAGGGATTTTTTATATATAAAATAATATTATATATTTAGCTATGAATTTTTATGTTTTATTTATATTATGGATTATTAGATTTTGTATTTCAAACTTTTAAATTTTATGTTTGGATGTTGGACTATGTAATTCGAAGTTTCGAACATTTAAATTATTGTGTGTGCTTTTTTAATTAATAATTTGAAAATAAAATAAAAAAATTGGGTATTCGAGTGCCCGAAATATAGGTACCCAAAAAATCTGGGTACCTGATATCATACGGGTCGGGACACGGACCGAGAAATTAATTATCCGAATATCTTGATACCCAGTACTTTGAGTACCCAAAAATTGGGTACCTGGATTTGCACTCCCCTACCTACTAAGATCATTTATCTTTCTTCTCTTAGAGTCTCTATTTATTTCTCTTCTAAATAAGATTATGATTAAATATAAAATTTATCAAAATTTTGTTTGAGTTTTGAAAAATGTTTAACATTATTGTTAGGGAACATTCGAGTGTTAAAGCACAAGACATAAGGTTTGAACTCGTATCCTTGTATATAGATGAACTTTTTATGAGTAAATGTGATACCACTTGAATTAGTTACACACTCTAAACCTCACACAGTGACACGCACGTTCTTTAATAGGGTTGTAAACAAGTGGAGTAGAGTTCGAGTATTACTAAGCTTGATTCGACTCGAAAATTCACGAGTTTAAAATTTTCAAGTTCGACTCGAACATGAAACAATGAATTGAAGCTCGTTAAAGTTCAAAAAAGCTCAAAATGAAAAAAATCTTAAACTTAACTCGATTGAAGCTAAAACTCAAACTCGGACCTAAACCTTAAATACATGAAAATTTTATCTGCATTTTTTAAAAAATCAACGCATAGATGTTAATATATTATATTTTCGAGTTTCTTGCGAGTTTTTCGAGTCGAGTATCAAGTAGCTCGTTTCGGCTCGTTAAGAACTCGAGTCGAGCATTTATCGAACTTTGACCGAGTCGGTCTCGAGTAGCTCACGATATGTCTATCTCATTTAAGGCCCTACACTCAACGTGTTCCTCATGAAAATAAAATCCTTTTAAGGACAAATATCAAATATATTTCAGAACAGTCAAAAGTATTCTGAAACAAACATCACTCTTAACGTTCTATTCAAAAGCACATCTCGCTCTCGTAAGACAGTTCTGACAAATTTTAATATTACCATAAACGGTTTGTTATTTTAACATTTACTCTAACATCATGCTTTAGTTTTATGGGTTTTGTTGTTCATATTTTTTAAGTGGACTTATTGGGTTCAGCGGCCCTGCCTGCATTATTACTTATTGTTATTGTTATGATGGTGGTGGTGGTGGTTTACTTGAGATTACTGAAGATGACAAGGCAACTTGCAAACAAAAAAACCATTTTTAATATAAAACGATGTCAAACATTAACTGTTGTGGACGTCGTATATGAGTTCCCTGAGGAATCGGTTGTCGATAAAAACCTATGTTTTTGTCGCTTTTAACCCACACTTGTTTCACGCATCACTTTCGGAGTACACCACTAATGTCTAATGTCATGTCTCTACATTGTTTTATCGACAACATGGTCGCTCATTGACAGGAACATGGCTTGCTGATGATTTTTACTGTTAAGGGATGCCATTCTCAGAATTAATGACCATTCAAAGTTGACTTGCTTTATTTGACTGGAAATTAATTCGGTCTAGAGGTTGGCCGGCCGGTAGTTTTATGGAATTGTTTCCTTTTTCCATCGAAGGGACAATGGTGGTTAGACGTGGTAATTGGACGAGTTCGGATCGAGTTGTTTCGAGTGCAATCGTCAACCTAAAACATGTTTCCCTAAAGAGGTGTATGCCAAGTGCAAATGTCTTGGAAAGAAATGAATGTTGGTTGCTATAGTATCGTCGTAGTCATCGTGCTGAGCATAATCATAATAATTAATGCAGACATATGTGTGACTTCAAAGTCTCTTAGCATTTTTATATTCACTGTTTGAAACCAATGTTTGGGAAACATCTGTCCTGGCATTGGCAACACAAAGAACAGTATACAATGACGTGAATGCCTAAAGCATTTGCAGGCCATCACAGATAAAATTGATCATCGTCGTTCCTTGAGTTCTGCTTGAAATAGGGACATTTTCTATTTAAAACCTCATTGCATGATGCAAATGCTTTGAATTTCCCTGGAATTATAGGAATCTTGTTTGGTGAAACAGTATGACTATGACCCCTGTTTTATTTTATTGAGCCACGAAACGCCAGGCAATTTATTAAAGCCAACATGCATGCATACGTAATGGCCTGAATTTTTAAGAGACCCAAAGTTGCAGAGAACTCCAAAATGTCTTGTACCTTCCTGATTCGTTTCCAGAGCTGACAATGAAATCCCATGATGCTCAGAATATGTAAAAGCCATATGATCCCTTCATTCTTTTTTAAGTCTTGTGAGACTTTAGCTTCATATCATCTTCCTCTATATATACCCAAACTAAACCATCATTAAGAAGTAGCCTTCTCTTCACAATCTTTGTTCAGCAAAAATGGTAACTTGGTCTGGCCAATTATCTTTGCTTAAATGTTTTTCATTTGCTTTATTCAGGATAATTAGTCTCCTGTATGTTGTTTTACAGGGCATTTTCAGGGATTTCAACGGCCAAGCCAAGCAAGAAAAGAAACTCGGAGGAACCAGGGCTACGCTTTTTGTCTACGGTAACAATTCAATCTTGTTTTATGTCTCTCAGTCCCTTCCTTGCTTTAAAAGTTTGCTTGTCTTTGGTTCCTATTTGTTTTGTATTCATTGTGGCAGCCATGGAAGGACTGGAGAATATGGCATTCATCTCAAATGCCGTCAGCCTGGTAACCTACTTTTATGGGTACATGAACTTTAGCCTAACCAAATCAGCAACCACCCTTACCAATTTCATGGGGACTTCATTTTTGGTAGCACTCTTCGGAGGGTTCATCTCTGACACATATTTGTCAAGGTTCAAGACTTGTGTCTTGTTTGGCTGCATAGAATTGCTGGTAAGTTTATGATCCTATATCTACATAACCATTTACCCATTTCCTCAACTGCCTGCATATTCTACTACAAAGAGCGGCTGTGATTTAAACATACGGAATAGATTGCTTCAAGACATGTTTTGCTCTCGTCACACGCTCCAGCATGACCAAGCTAGTATAAAATGAATATCATATCCACCACTCGAAACGATGTTTATCATCAAATTAAGTATTTATTTTTGTTCCTTGTCTGTGTCTCAACTCATGCATAAATAAAAAAAGTTAGTTGCCTAACAGTGTTACAAAGAATAAAAAGGATCATATATATCATTGACTAAATTAATAAAGTACAAACAATCACTAGTTTTTCATTGTAAATCATCGGTATTCGATCTATTAACCGACTAATCTAAATCGAGGGCTGCAAATGTCTATTATGGTTTGATCAAACCATTTTCAATATTTCATAATCATTTGTAATCCATGGTCTACGTACCAAATTCGTGCGATTGTGAGAAACAAAAAAAATCAAGTTAATAGGTGAAAAGCAACAAATAAAGTTGAATTAGCAACTAAGACAAGTTTTGATAAAACATGCATGGTTTGCTTTGCAGGGATACGCGGTCTTAACAGTACAAGCTCATTTCCACCAACTACGACCACCCCCATGCCAAGGTCTTGCAATAAGCCGAGCAATTCAATGCGAGGCCGCCGACAGCAGCCAGGCTGCCATCCTTTTTACCGGTCTATACCTCGTTGCATTTGGTACTAGTGGGGTTAAGGCAGCTTTGCCATCATTGGGGGCCGACCAATTCGATGAAAGGGATCCTAAAGAATCAGCTCAATTGTCAAGCTTTTTCAACTGGTTCTTGCTCAGTCTCACTGTTGGAGCCATAATTGGTGTGACTTTAATCGTCTGGATAAGCACAAATCAGGGTTGGGACTGGGCTTTTAGTGCATCCACGTTGGCTGTCTTGGTTTCCATCGTGTTTGTAAGCATGGGCAAGTCCTTGTACCGTAACAATGTCCCCAAAGGGAGCCCTCTCCTTCGTATTATACAGGTAATTAGTATCATAAACTATGTAAATGTGCTTCATAAAAGAACCAATAACTTACTAAATTTTCTTCGGCTTTATTAGGTATTTGTGGTGGCAATCCGAAACCGGAAGCTTCCACAACCCGAGGTGGTGGATGAATTACATGAAGTTCGTAACAAAGAAGCAGGGGTGCACAATGAAATTCTCCCCAGAACTGATCAATTCAGGTAACCATTTACAATGATCTTAGTGTATTTTGTTGATAGTAAGTTGTGAATTTTGCTTACATTTACCATGTCTACAGGTTTCTAGACAGAGCAGCAATTGGGCAGACCTCTGGCGATGCATCTACATCAATAAGTCCTGGACCCTGGAGACTTTGTACAGTATCACAAGTTGAAGAAACAAAGATCATAATTAGGATGCTTCCAATTATTCTCAGCACCGTTTTCATGAATACTTGTTTAGCTCAACTCCAGACTTTCACCGTCCAACAAAGCACAACCATGGATACTCATATCCTTAGTTTTAAGATGCCTGGTCCCTCCATCCCGGTTATCCCTCTAGTGTTCATGTTCATTTTTATCCCCATATATGACCGCATTTTTGTCCCAGTTGCTCGGAAAATAACAGGAATCCCAACCGGAATTCGCTATCTTCAAAGAATCGGGGTTGGGTTGGTTCTGTCGGCCATATCCATGGCGGTAGCTGGAATTGTAGAAACACGACGTAAATCGGTGGCGCGCAAACACGACATGGTGGATTCTCTTCGGCCTCTGCCAATGAGTGTGTTTTGGCTTGGATACCAATATGCTATATTTGGGTTGGCTGATATGTTCACATTCGTTGGGCTGCTGGAATTCTTCTATGCCGAGAGCTCGGCAGGGATGAAGTCGTTGGGCACGGCCATTTCATGGTGCTCATTGGCTTTTGGTTACTTCTTGAGCACGGTGGTGGTAGAGGTGGTGAACAAGGTGAGTGGTGGATGGCTGGCTAATAACAATTTGAACCGAGACAAGCTCAACTATTTTTACTGGCTATTGGCAGCGGTGAGCGTGCTTAATTTCGGTGTCTACTTGGCTTGTGCTTCTTGGTATAGGTATAAGAAGGTCCAAGTCATTAACCAAGAAGAAAATCATGGTAGCGAAGCTGCCAAGGGAAAGCAACTTGAGATGTTAACAGCTTAGAATCACAATGTTTTCCAAATAAAAGCACTAAACATTTTGAAAAACTGAATAAAACACAAGAAAAATGAACTGTCTACACGTAAGCCCCTCATCTACTTACCATCTTCTTATCTTATCATTATAAAACTATTTTTATTCTCTAAAAGAATTGTGATCTCCACGAAAATGGGTAGTCTAAAATGGATAGGTTATTAAATATGTCAATCCTTAGATCTAGGGGTTTTCAGCATCGGCATTTTTCCAAGGAAGTGGTAGAATCGATGCCAGCAGAGCAGGCGAGCGCACATGCTGAGACGATGATACGAGTACTATTCATTTATGTCTAATTCTCCAACGAAGCGTTTGAGGCAGGAAAATATATATTAATAGAACTTCAAAAAACGAGTATAAACATCTATATCACTTTGGGAGAAGGCCACAATCAGACGTAAAACTATTAATATATATTTTCCTACGTACAAGTAGATGCTCTTTCCCTTTTGATTATCTCATTAAGTTCTACTAAACTGTTTACTATTCCTATTAAATTTATAGATGTTTATACTCATTTTTTTTATAAATATTTTCTGAATAGTATGAATGATTGTAAGATAATATTTCTTCATATTTTTTCTTAACCGATAATAACACACACTTTATAGATATAATTATACGAGAGAGAAAGAGAATACGATCTTGAGAAAGGGGGTAATTGTAACATTTTTTATTGAATTAAAATTGTAGAATGATAGTTTGACTGCAAACAGGCACTATTACTAAAGCAAGACAAAAGGGTAGGAGGCACTAAAGCTGCACTTTTCGTCTATGGTAATTAACCCTAAACCCTTGCTGAAATGAATTGGTTATGTGGTGATCTTAATTGCCTGATTCATATATATATATATATACATGCAGCGACGGAAGGGCTGGAGAGCATGGCGTTTACCGCAAATGCAGTGAGCCTGGTGACCTATTTTTATAGGGTATATGAACTTTGGCTTGACCAAATCTGCAAATTAACACGCTTACAAACTTCATGGGAGCAACGTTCACTCTTGCACTCTTAGGAGGAGTCTTTGCCGATACATTTTTGACAAGACTCACCAACCGTGTCCTCTTTGGATTCCTGGAATTGCTGGTGCGTTATTCATCATCATTAGTTTCATACATGAAAATTGGACTATTGGAGGAATCAGTCCATTAATATTTAAAAATATATAAAATTATCCCCCCCTTTTTTTTCTTTCTGTTTTCTCAAACAACAAAACAATACCAACAAATCAGATCATCGATTCATTAAACACTTGATATTGAACTTAAAATATTGGGCTTCCTTACATGTTGCAGTGTTTACTATCCATCCAAATTTATTTCTTTCATATGATGTAAGATTGTTATTTATCATCCATCATGGTCTAAAGTTCCAAAAACTAACTAAAATTATGTATCAAATGCAGTTGCTAAAGACCTTAAAATATTATTACAAACAAGCCATTATGTTAAATACTTGACAAAATAATGATGTGACATGATATAATAATAATTTTTGTCTTCAAATTTTATGCATTCTATTAATTTAGTCCTAATTTGAAATGTTATCCTAGGTTGTTTGTCTTCTCACAAAAATGTTATACTAGTTTTATGTTACATTCATGGTATAATAATAGTTCAATAGCAGTTTGCTTTTACTTTATGGTAGATTGCAATTATAAAACTGCGTATTTAATCCGATAGATTCGTATGGTTTGATAATATCACAAAAAGATTAAATAAATGAATTTGTTAAATATAAAATATTAAATTTATTGAATTGAATTGTTTTAAATTAGAACCAATTTGATAGAAATATGTTAGTTTCAGGGACTAAAACTAATATTATATTAGATAAAATGAATATTTGTTTCACTTTTATTGACAAAATATCTTCTTTGTAATAATATTTTAATTGAGTGACTAAATTTTAACTTTTTTAACAGAAGTGATCTATCTGTAACGAAATTAGAGTGACTTGGATGTATGTATAATCAGTAACGAACTAATAAAGCCATGGTTTGTTTAGAAAAAAATAGATAGCAGTTCACCTTGATTAGATAATTAAAATCATCTGATCAAACGAGACTTGATCTGATGCTTACAAATTTGAAGGGAAATGTCCTGCTGACAGTACAAGCACACTTCGATCAACTGAGGCCAACTCCTTGCGAGGATAATTCAAAGCAATGCGAGGCTGCGAATACCGGCGAAGCAGCAATTCTTTACACTGGTCTATACCTGGTGGCGCTTGGAACCGGTGGAATTAAGGCGGCTTTGCCATTGTTGGGAGCTGACCAGTTCGACAGCAAGGACCCTAAAGAGTCAATTCAACTTTCAAGCTTTTTCAACTGGTTCATGTTTAGCATGACAGTTGGATCTTTAGCTGGTGTCACTTTTGTAGCGAGGGTTAGTTCTAACAAGGGTTGGGATTGGGCATTTGGAGCCTGTACTTTATTAGCCTTGCTTGAAATCGTGTTTCTCTGCATTGGCAAGCTATTTTATAGGGAGAATTTGCCCGAAGGAAGCCCCGTTATTCGAATCCTACAGGTAAGTCTTTCGGTACAATTTTTATTTTTCATTTTCATGTGAAAATTGTTGGAAATAAAACACTCACACAAACAACTTTTATTGAAACTCAAACAAATATTACAAGAGTACTCTCACTCAAAAACAAGAACTACAACTCACTCTTATAAGACTTTGCTTCTTCACTCACTTAGAAGCTCTTAATTTTTCTTAATGCTTAAAACTAAAATGGGAAGGGGTATTTATACTACTCAAGAACAATCCTACACCACACAAATAAACTAATTTAAACCATTACAAATTCAACAAATATCTAACTCTCACCTAACTAAATTGATGTAAGCAATGACATCATTAATTAAATGATGTAAGCAATGACATCTTTAATTAAATGATGTAAGTAATGACATCAATTTAGTTTGGGTTTGGGTTTAGGCTCCCATAATGGATCAAGTTTATGATCCAACACCCTCCCTTAAACTTGATCTCGTGACCCCTAGTAGGTTCCTTAATCTTAAGAAGTCTTCGCTGGTCAGTGGCTTGGTAAAAATATCAGCAACTTGATCTTGTGACCTCACATATTCAACTTCCACATCTTTTCTTGCAACACACTCCCTTATATAGTGGTAGCGAATATCAATGTGCTTGCTTCGATCATGGAATACTGGATTCTTCGCTAAGGCAATGGCTGACTTGTTGTCGACACAAACCTTGGTAGGCTCTTCTTGTATCAAACCAATCTCCTTCAATAGATTTCTAAGCCAAATTGCATGACAAACACATGAGGTAGCAGCAATATTCCGCTTGTGGACATGTGACTTTGACATCCATGTGAATGCAATATCTCCCATGAAAAATACGAATCCAGTAGTGCTCCTTCGATTATCTATGTCTCCACCCCAATCACTTTCGCTATATCCAACAAGCTTGTAATCATTAGAAACTGAATAGAACAAGCCAAAGTCAATTGTACCTTTCAGATAGCGAAGAATTCTCTTTGCAGCTTTAAAATGGGTGGTTGTTGGGGATTCCATGTAGCGACTAACCAATCCAACTGCGTGAAGAATATCGGGTCTCGTGCAAGTTAGATAGCGTAGACTTCCTACCAAACTTTGAAGAATGTTGGATCTACACTTTCGCCTTCTTCATGTTTGGTCATCTTGATCCCGTATTCTGCCGGTGTGCTTATTGGCTTACAGTTCTCCATCTTGAACTTCTTCAGTATCTCATTTGCATAGCTTTCCTGTGAAATGAAAATTCCATCATTTTGTTGCTTAACTTCAATGCCAAGGTAGTACGCCATGAGCCCCATGTCTGTCATCTCGAATTCTTTCATCATCACATCCTTGAATTCATTAAACATGCTTGGGTTGCTTCCAGTGAAGATCAAATCGTCCACGTAGAGGCACACGATCAAATATCTTCATCTTTGATCTTGATATATAGAGCATGCTCGTAGGGACATTTGTTGAAACCATTCTCTTGGAAGTACTTGTCGATTCGGCTATTCCATGCCCTTGGTGCTTGTTTTAGCCCGTAAAGAGCCTTCTTCAACTTCAACACCTTGTCTTCATGCCCTTTGACTTCATAGCCTGATGGTTGCTGAATGTAAAGTTCCTCTTCAAGAACTCCATTTAGGAAGGCGGACTTTACATCCATCTGTTGTATCTTCCACTTGTTTTGAGCTGCCAAAGAAATGATTAGTCTGATAGTCTCCAATCGAGCAACAGGAGCAAATACCTCATCATAGTCAATTCCAGCCTTTTGACTATAGCCTTTAGCAACTAGCCTCGCCTTGTGCCTTTCAATCTCTCCTTTGGCATTTTGCTTTGTTTTGTACACCCATTTGACACCTATCGCCTTATGTCCCTTGGGAAGTGAGGTAAGTTCCCATGTGTCATTCTTTTCGATGGCCTTGATTTCTTCGTCCATCGCATCTCTCCATTTCTTTTCTTGTACCGCTTCTTGAAAGCTCACTGGTTCACAATCGGCAAACAGACAAAATAATGTAAGATTATCTTGTCGTTCAGTTACCTCATAGAGATCTCTAAGGCTTCTTGTGCGTTGCACAACTCTTTCACTTTGACTCCCACTTGACGATGATGAAGGTGATGAGTCTCCTTGAGTGGTTGATGTTGGTGAAGTGGGTGGAGTTGCAAGCTCTTGTTGAGATTCATCTATTTGCTCCCTCATTGTCTGCTCATCTTCTTCAAACTGAGGAAAGAAATTGAAGTCATCTGTATGAGAGTTAAAATCCCATTCTCCTTCTTCGTTGAAGACCACATCTCGACTAATCACAAACTTCTTATTGTCTGGATTGTACAACTTGTAGCCCTTCGAATTAGCATCATAGCCGATGAAGATAAAACTCTCGCTTTTATCATCAAGCTTCGTTCTTCTCTCGTCTGGTACGTGAACATGGGCTATACTTCCAAAGGTTCTCAAGTGGGAAATGCCAGGCTTTCTTCCACTCCATGCCTCTTGCGGTGTCTTTCCCCATACACTTCTTGTTGGAGATCGATTTGACAAGTAGACTGCACACGATACTGCTTCCGCCCAAAATTCTTTGGGTAGTTTCTTGCTTTTGAGCATGCTTCGTGCCATATCGAGGATTGTTCTATTCTTTCTTTCTGCCACACCATTTTGCTGGGGGGATCTAGGAACTGTCATTGGTCGACGAATTCCATTTGATTCACAGAACTCTTGAAACTCCCTGGAAGTAAATTCTCCACCTCGATCGGATCTCATGGCTTTGATCTTTCTACCGCTTTCTCTCTCCACTGCTGCTTTGAACTTCTTGAAGACTTCAAAAACTTCTGACTTCTGTTTCAAGAATATACCCAGGTTTTTCTTGAAAAATCATCAATGAAGAGAAGAAAATAGTTATTGTTACCGAGAGAGCTTGGCTTGATCGGTCCACACACATCGGTATGGATGAGCTCAAGTGACTTCTTAGCTCTTGTCTCTGACTCCTTTGGAAAGCTTTTCCTGAATTGTTTCCCGACTAGACACCCTTCACAGAGCTGGTCAGGATGGTTGATGTGAGGTAGTCCTTTCACCATCTCCTTCTTAGATAATAGCTCTAGACCTCCAAAATTGAGATGCCCAAATCGAAGATGCCAAAGCCATGATGCATCTTTGTAGCAAGCTTTCAGGCACTTTGCAACATCATTTTGTATGTTGATCAAGAACATTCTATTCTTTGACATCGGCACTTTAGCAATGAAGTTATTCTTATCATCTTTTATAGAAAGATTATAATTATTTATATGAATATCATAACCTTTCTCTACCAGTTGCCCTAAACTTAAAATGTTACTTTTCATATTGGGCACATAGTAGACATTTGAAATAAATTGATGTCTCCCATCTTTCAAACGGATAAGAATGTTACCTCTCCCTTTCACTGCTATTGTGGAATCATCTCCAAACGAAACATTTCCACTTACTGACTCGTCTAGCTCCACAAACATGTCTTTCCTTCCACACATGTGATTGCTTGCACCACTGTCAAGATACCAGGAATTTGCTTGGCCACCATCAGTTTCCTTTCGTGCTAGAAGAAGAGTTTCTTTGCCATCTGTCTTTTCCTCCACGTAATTGGCCTTCTCCTCAATTTTGTTGTTGGGAGCTCTACATTCTGAAGCATAATACCCAAATTTTTGACAATTATAACATCGAATTTGAGATTTGTCGTACTTTGAGTTTGGATTAATTCTTCCACGGCCTCGTGTTGAGCTTTCTCCTTTCTCATAGTTATTGTTGGAATTGTTATTGTTGTAATTCCAGCCTCGTCCACGACCTCGACTTCCACCTCGTCCATGGCCTCTACCTCTGCCTTGGCCACGTTGGTTTCTATCATTGCGTTGGCTCTCTTGCATATCCTTGAGTTGCAGCTTGAGGAGTTGCTCAGTAAACTCATGCTTCTTTTTATGCTTCTCTTCGTATGCTTGCAATGATCCTTGGATCTGTTCGATCTTCATTTCTTCCAAGTCTTTAGTTTCTTCAATCGTCACGACGATGTGCTCAAATTTGGGATCCAACGAACGGAGTATCTTCTCTATTATCCTCACATCGTCTAACTTTTCACCATTTCTTTTTAATTGATTAGAAACAGCTACTACTCTTGAGAAATAATCTGAAATAGACTCAGATGCTTTCATGTTTAAGGATTCGAATTCACCTCTTAATGTTTGGAGACGAACCTTCTTCACTTGCTCGGATCCTTTGTAAGAGGTTTGCAGCTTCTCCCACGCTTCCTTGCTAGAGCTTGCACTTGAAATCTTTTCAAAACCATCATCATCTAATGCTTAATAGATGAGGTAGAGAGCCTTCTTGTCTCTCTTTCTTGAATCCTTCAAAGTTGTCTTTTGATCTGGTGTAAGAGTAGCAAAAGCATCATCATCCGCAGGCTCGTTATAGCCTTTCTCTATGATATCCCACACATCTTGTGATCCAAGAAGTGCCTTCATTTTGATACTCCAATTGTCGTAGTTGTTGTTGTTGAGTGTCGGAACTTGGAATGGTGCCATACCATTTGCCATATCTCTCAATATAATGAGATTTTGTAAAATCCGATTGCACGGATGAATCCGGAACGATGAAAAAAAACTTTGGAGGGACTTGGACAACTCGGTCAAGGGCTCCAACTCGGCTGACTCGGTTCAACTCGGTGAGTCAACTCGATTTTCTGGCAGCAGTCTTCCGGCGGTGCGTGGCAGTGCGTCAGAACTCAGATTGAGAAAATTCTGGCGACGTCGTATTCCTCTCGTCGAGATCTTCGATCTTTCCAACTCTCTCTGATGCCACTTTGTTGGAAATAAAACACTCACACAAACAACTTTTATTGAAACTCAAACAAATATTACAAGAGTACTCTCACTCAAAAACAAGAACTACAACTCACTCTTATAAGACTTTGCTTCTTCACTCACTTAGAAGCTCTTAATTTTTCTTGATGCTTAAAACTAAAATGGGAAGGGGTATTTATACTACTCAAGAACAATCCTACACCACACAAATAAACTAATTTAAACCATTACAAATTCAACAAATATCTAACTCTCACCTAACTAAATTGATGTAAGCAATGACATCATTAATTAAATGATGTAAGCAATGACATCTTTAATTAAATGATGTAAGTAATGACATCAATTTAGTTTGGGTTTGGGTTTAGGCTCCCATAATGGATCAAGTTTATGATCCAACAAAAATGAGGCGAGTTCAAGAATCATGGCCTCCATATTCCTGTTTCAAGGTAATTGTTGCAGCCATCCGCAACCGACACCTTCCAATACCAAGGAAGGGAGATGAACTACATGAGATTTATGACAAAGGAACAGTGGTGGTGCCAAATGAGATTATTCAGAGAACCAGTCAGTTTAGGTACAAGGTTTCGTTTTTTAAAAATTAATAAAAAGTTATTTGTGAACTAACCCTAACGTGAATATATCAACAAATCCTTAGATTCTTGGATCGAGCAGCAGTTCATGATGAGCCCTCTTGGGGTGCATCAGCATCATCGACTCCAGGACGCTGGAGGCTTTGTACAGTGACCCAAGTGGAAGAAACCAAGATTTTACTTCGCATGCTCCCAATCGTACTTAGCACAATTTTCTTAAGTACTTGTTTGGCTCAACTCCAAACATTTTCCGTACAACAAAGCATGACTTAAATAAGATTAAGATTAGATTTAACATTTCTCTTTATTAATGGTAGGACAATAAAAAATAAATGGCTACAGAATGACTTAAAATATTTACCATCACTGGAACTTTTCCATTGCAACCAATCATGATCAACCACTAAGAAACGGAAGCCATTAATGACTTGTAAGAACTCTCCATTGAGAGACTTCCCAGTCAAAAAAAAAAAAACTTTCTCAGAGGAATAGACGAGATCCAACCGGCTTCCTCGCCCATGTAGGGCGTTGGAAAAAAAATTTCCGGGTTCTACCCAAATTATTTCTTGAATTAGGGTGTTTGCTACAGTAACCTCATTGATCGCCAAGTGCTCCTTGCAACAAAGCCTCCTCTGTTGCAGCAACTCTTCTATCTTCCCTCGCTATTGCAGCTCCATAGGTCACAAAGTGCTCCATAGGTCACCAAGTACTTCATAGGTCGTCGTGTGCTCTTTGAGACCAATGGAGGTCGTCATGTGCTCCTGAAGACCTATGGTGGTAACTGTAGTAATCACCATACTTAAACAAATAATTGTTCGGCTGCACTATGTGAATAATTTTTTTCCCATTGCATTATTCAAACAATTTTGCCGATCCAACCATTACTATCATTTGAGTCAATTTCCATAACTTTACCACTTGTGTTTATGGTAAGAGAAAAGATTCGAGGAAACCTATCATTTAAGAGAGTTACCGATCCATATGTATTTCGGGAAAAAATATGGTGGATCCCGCAGTAAAAGATAAAAATAATTGTTGAAAAAAAATAGTTAATCATCTAATTGTTGTATCTAGGGAGATAGACGACCAACGAACGCGAACACTAAATGAGTGGTTGAAAATCTGTAAGAAAATTGTGTAGTGACAGACCTCAACTTTTCCGATCAACTGATCAATTAAATAAAAATGAGTATTATTTATATTTATATATATATATATATATATATATTATTTAAGAAATTTAACTTCTTTTGTTTTATCTTTTTAGGTGTGATTATGATATTGGATTGTTATTTTGATTGTTTAAGTCAGAGTAAATTCGTTCTTTTTCTTTGATTGTTATTTTGATTATGGTATTCGATCATTATTATTTTTTCTATATAAATTTCGGATTAACGTGATTTTTTTACCATAACTAATGAGAAAAAAATGTAATTTTATTATCTGATATTATAACTAGAAAACGCAATTCTGATGTTCGACAAAAACACAAAACAAGCTTTAAGTACATATCTCGTGTCATTGTTTGTTAAGAAATCTGTTTTGCTCTGCTGACCCAAATTGTCTTTCTCATAAGTTTAGCATTTCTCATAATTTTCTATAATTACTATAGATGATTCATGGATAGTTTATAGATTAAAACTAGAAATTCGTATAAACTTGTTAAAATGTACTAATTATTACTTAAAGAATTGAAGATCACTGTCTACAATAATGGACGTTCGGGCACGTATATTGAAGTTTTGAACCAAGTGGGATTTTAAAATTGGCTACTTTATTTAAAAATAGAGTGGTTGCTTATACGAGACAAAGAAAAGCTGGATAAAGGAACTCACGTATATCTAAATGGATTCCAAGTGTTATGATGGTCTTTTAATGAGCAAAAAATATATCAATAGTGTTTGGTGTGCTACGTCCGACCAAACACTGACCGACAAGAAAAGCTGTCTTTATAATATTTATCTTTTGCAACCTTAAAGGAAGGAAGGAAGGAAGGAAAGGAGCTGTGTCAACGAAATGGTAAATGTTGTCCCTCTCTTTTTAATCTTGATGTTAGCTGGTAATCAGTTGTTTGTGACACTGTAAACAGGAAAGCAGTGGAGATGGTGATGCTAAACAGTTAGCAATGAAGCTAGACAAGAGGGTAGGAGGAATTAAAGCTGCAGTTTTCGTGTATGGTAATTAACCCTAACCCTTGCTGAAATGATTTGGGTATTTGATGGTGAGAGCTGGTTCATATGCAGCGACGGGAGGGCTGGAGAACATGGCGTTTGTAGCGAATGCAGTGAGCCTGGTGACTTACGTTATGGGGTATATGAACTTTGGGCTGACCAAATCTGCAAACACCGTCACAAGCTTCATGGGAACATCTTTCGGTCTTGCACTCTTAGGAGGAGTCATTGCTGATACATGCTTCACAAAATTCACCACCTGTGTCCTCTTTGGATTCCTTGAAGTACTGGTACGTTATTTATCATCCTCAAATGGAAATTGGGATCATCCCCGGCCCCTTCCCCGTCAAGTTTTATAATTATTATATGCACTTTTTAAATTTTGAAATATTATTTTGACTAAAAAATATTAGGGTAATATTAATAAATTATAAATGTTTAAATGATCAAATTGAAGAATATGAACTAAATAAATAATTTCTATGTGAATCAAAATCAAAATTTTAATTTTTTAAAAAATACTTCATTAAAAATGATCAATTTAGAGCACGTAAATTAAATCTTTAACTAATATGAACTTTCCAAGGGCAGCTTGCCAGTTTCCACATGCTAGATCGTAGCTGCTTGTCATAAAAAAGCACAGTTTAACAATAGTTTTATGCACTTACAACAGTTGGGTGCTCGATCAAATTCTAGAACATTTGGAACTAAAGCTATGGTTTATTTAGAAAATATATGTTGATTACATAATCTAATAACAAAAATCATCTGATCTGATCTGATGCTTAAATTTTTATAAGGGATATGCCCTGCTGACAGTACAAGCACACTTGGATCAACTAAGGCCAACTCCTTGCACCGATATTTCAAAACCATGCGAGGCTGCAAATAGTGGCCAAGAAGCAATTCTTTACACTGGTCTATACCTGGTGGCGCTAGGAACCAGTGGGGTTAAGGCGGCTTTGCCATTGTTGGGAGCTGACCAGTTCGATGGCAAGGACCCTAAAGAGGCACTTCAACTTTCAAGCTACTTCAACTGGTACACCTTTAGCCAGACGTGTGGTTCTATAACCGGGGTCACTTTTCTAGTGTGGATAAGTTCTAACATCGGTTGGGATTGGGCGTTTGGAGTCTGCACCGTAGCGGTCTTGCTTGCAATTGTGTTGGTGTCAATTGGCAAGCCTTTTTATAGGAACAATGCACCTAATGGAAGCCCCATTATTCGAATCCTACAGGTAAGTCCATTTCCAATTTTCCATCATAATACATACGTGGTACTGTTTTTATTTTTCTGTTTTCCCATTTCAAGGTACTTGTGGCTTCCATCCACAAAAGATCCCTTCCAATACCGGGGAAGGAAGATGAATTATATGAGATAAATGGCAAAGGAACAGTGGTGATGCCAGAAGTTCTTCAGAGAACCAATCAGTTTAGGTACACAGTTTAGTTTGATTTGTAGAATTTAATAAAACTTGTTTTAAACCAGCCCTAACTTGAATGTATCAACAAATCCTTAGGTTCTTGGATCGAGCAGCTGTTCATGTAACCTCTCGGGGTGGAATGAACCCAGGACCCTGGAGGCTTAGTACAGTGACCCAAGTAGAAGAAACCAAGATTTTACTTCGCATGCTCCCCATCGTACTCAGCACAGTTTTCATAAATACTTGCTTGGCTCAACTCCAAACATTTTCCATACAACAAAGCTTGACCCTGGACACTCGAATATTTGGTTTCAAAATCCCCGCTACCTCCATTCCTGTCATTCCCCTGACATTCAACTTGATTTTCATTCCAATTTATGACCGCATTCTCCTTCCAATTGCCCGAAGAATGACAGGAGTTCCAACAGGAATCCGGCATCTTCAGCGAATTGGAGTGGGATTGGTGCTCTCAACCATTTCCATGGCAATCTCTGCAGTCATTGAGACCAGGCGTAAATCTGTGGCATTTAAGCACAACATGGTAGATTCTACCGACCCTCTTCCAATGAGTGTGTTTTGGCTTGGGTTCCAACACGCCGTATTTGGGCTGTCTGATATGTTCACATTAGTTGGGCTGCTACACTTCTACCATGCGGAGAGCTCAGCTGGTATGAAAGGAACCAGCACAGCTCTCCTCTGGTTTTCTCTAGCAGTTGGTTACTTAACAAGCTCAGTTGTGGTGGAGGTCGTGAACAAGGCCAGCGGCGGTTGGTTGGCTTCAAACAACCTCAACAGAGACAACTTAAACTATTTCTACTGGTTATTATCAGCGTTGAGTACTCTTAACTTTCTCATTTATTTGGTGTGTGCCTCTTGGTACAAATATAAGAACGTGGAGGAAATGAAGCAAGAAGAAAATTCTCTTCATGGTAATGCTGATAAGGTCTCAGAGGCAGCTTAAAGATTATAATGATGTAATAACAAGTGATTCACATGAATAAGATCAAAATGTTGGAAGTAGATCAATATACATGGGGATAGAACAACCATACCCAGATTCACAGACAAGCCTCCCTTTCCTACTTTCAACAGTTCCTCCTCCTACAGATCTACCAACTATGTTTTCAATGGGAAGTTGAGCCCTGAAGATGGATTGGAAATAAGATGACGGTTACAGGAGTTTACTTTCCTAAAATAACAAGGCACGCCAATTATGCATTCTCTCTGTTAGGTTGAAGAAACATGTTGCAATCTTGCCATTGTAGCTTCTCCAATGCATTCCAAAAGCAAAAGCTCAATGGTAAAAATGAAAATATTTGAATTACCATATAATGGATGCGAGTATCTCCCAGCACCAAAAGCATAACCTTCAACTCAAGCACAGCCTGCAAAATCACCCAAAACAAATGATGAACTCTGCTAACCAATGTGATTCACCTGATCCCGTGACCATGTAACAAGCACGATCAAGAACCAGAGAAACAAACAGATAAAAAAAGGGTGCAATACACAAATGAATAAACAAGTTCGGCCCTGAAGTAGACACTACCATAGAATCCATTTTTTTTAGTAGAATTTAAATCTAACTTAAATTTTCCATTAGAATTCAAATCAAATTTAAACTTTTTTTAATAGATAGAAGCTAATTTTATTGAAAATAGGAAATATATAGAATTATAATGAATGTTCACAATTATAGCCACAAACTAAACACATAATAGGATATTTTCCTTTCTAATCATAAAGGTAAGAAATTAACCGTTTAAGATCAAATAAGGGCATATTGTATAATAAAAGGTTTAAAAACCTAACTAAATAAACTCGAACTAAAGGTAGATATGAATAGATCTGATTACATCGGAAAACGAACTACAAAAGGGATCAAGCTATTGAAATACCACCGACAAACTGCTACTCAAAGTCGAGCGACATAAAAAAACAATCCACGACCGCAAATGACGTATCCAAATCCAATCCGAATGTCCAAAGCAGAGAAGAACATCATGATAACAATTAAGTGTCATCTTAATTCGCCGTGATGTCAAATCTAACCCTAATAAAAAGGATAAACGGCCGAAAATGTGCCAAAAGATAGATGAAAACGTGTCAGTTATTAAGTCGTCAAAATGATATACCTCTTAATCCGATTCATGTTTGTGAAATATTTGATGCACGAGGTATTGACTATATGAGTCCATTTGTTCATCCTTTGGTAACTGTTATATAGTTCTAGCCGTTGATTATGTATCGAAATGGGTAGAAGCTAAAACTACTCGTAATAATGATGCTAGAATTGTTGTCGAATTTCTAAAATCTTTTATTTTTTTTCCAGGTTTAACATTATGAGGGTGATCATCAATGATCAAGGAATGCATTTTATTAATTGGATTATAGAGGCGCTCATGAAGAAATACGGTGTCACTCAACGGATCGTCACGAGTTACCACCCTCGAACTAATGCACAAGAGGAGGTTTCAAATAGAGAAATCAAGTCAATTCTCGAAAAGATTGTGAAGTTGAACAGAAAGGATTGGAGTTTGAAACTAAATGATGCCTATGGGCATATTGTATCGCTTACAAAGGTCTCATTGGCATGTCCCTATACTACTTAGTTTTCGGTAAACTGTGTCACTTACTAGTTGAATTGGACCACAAAACTTACTGGGCGGTGAAGGAATGCAATATGGAGATTGATGCAGTCAGCAAAGCATGAAAACTTCACATTCAAGAGCTCGAAGAAATTCGTCATAATGCTTACGATAGTGCCCAGATATATCAGGATAAAACTAAAGATTTTCATGATTGTCGTATTTCATTTAAATCTTTTACTATTGGGTAAAAAGTTCTATTTTTAATTCTAAATTGAAAATCTTTGCAAGTATATTGCGGACGAAGTGATCAGGACCTTTTATGGTAACTTAATTTTTCCCTCATGGCGCAGTTGAAATTCAGGACAACTTGGGAGTTTGTTTTAAAGTAAATGGTCAACGTTTGAAGTTATATTACGAGAATAATCAAGCTTGTTTGATCGAGGAAATTATTTTAGAAGAACTCGTAATCTGAATTAAGTCGAGCTAATGGCGTTAAATAAAGCGTTTCACTAGGAGACAATCCATTTTTATTTTATTTTATTTCGTTTCTTTTTACCTTAATTTATTTTGTTTTTTATTCGATTATTTTACTTCTATTTTGATTTTTGATTTTTTAGGTATCCCAGTATAATTAATCGAATTTAAGTAGAGTCGGATCGAATATTTTCGTTCAAACAGTAAACAAATTTTCGTCCGAAGACAGTACAGGTCGCGCACGCTGCTGGGATCCCTCCTCTCCCCTCCTCTCCTCGGTGCGCGTTAGTGTTTCCCTTTTGAGATTAGAGCATGTTAGTAAACCCAAGGGTTAAATCCCCTCAAAATTCCCATATATTTTCAGTATTTTCTGGGCCCCACGGAAGCCAAACCCATTTCTTTAATTCTCTCCCTCTTTTGATCGGTCACCCTCATTTCCAATCTCCACTTTTTCTCTTTTGGAGCCCACTTGCCAATCCCTATCTCTTGGTTTCAATTTTTGAAACAACTTTCATTCTCCCAAGACTCCTTACCCACCCTACCTCCCAATTAAACTCATTCTCCCGGTAAAACTCACGACATAATGCATTCAAAAAAAATATTTCACGAGATGATGCACTGATTAGATTAATTGCTGAGATAGGGTTAATTCTATAGTTCCCACGTAGGTCGTCATGACGTCCGGTGAGATGAGGTCTAAATAATCTCCTACTCTCCACATATGGCTGACTCTCAGTATTCTGGTAAAACTAATTTACAATCTCCAGGTAAACTCTTTACTTTCATTTACCCTTCTTGTATGTTTAAATCTGTTGTAACTACATTTCATCATCTGTTCAGGGGAGGAAACAACACGAGCAGGAGCAGGCGTGGGCAGAGGTTGCAGAACGTTGGTCACCGGGCGTGCATGGCGACCTATATGTCGCTGGGTGTGCATGGCTATCTACCTCATCTCATCACAGCTCGCGAGGATGACATGACGACCTACGTGGAGACTATAGAATTAACCTTATCTCAACAATTAATCTGACCAGTGCATCCTCTCATGATTTTTTTTTTAAATGCATTATGTCGTGAGTTTTGCCTATTCTCCCATTCACTTCCATTCTTTTTATATATTAACTCCCCACGTGTTAATCAAATAAAAAAAGAGCCATACCTTACCTTTTCTTAGTTTTTCTTGGGTCGTATCTTTCACTCTTCCCCTCTCTCTTGTTACCTCGACGACATTAGCCTTCACCTTTCTCATAACCGTTCGTTGACTCGCCTTGCTTCACTCTTCCGTCGTTTGTTCGATCGATCGTCGATTCTGCGATAGAGTCGATTCTTCGTCTTTCAAGAAACTATAGTAAGAACACGTAACCAAGGAGTCAGAAATCTTCAACCACCGGTTGTCCTCGGAGGTCACCGTCGGTTTGCTGTACCGATATTAGTCCAAGTATAGAGTGACTCTGACTTTGTGTCTTCATCGCCTCCTCTTTGCTGTGGTGAACGAAAGTAGCAGGCACCTGTTCCACCACCGTAAGAACTTGAACTGATTCACGTCACTCCAACCTCCTCTCTTGTTGAATCATCGTCGATTGGTAATTCTTCTTAGCAGCAAGGATCTGTTGGTCCTTCTAGACCACGACAGAACCGTTTTACACCGACGTCTTCTCTCTCGTTTTATTCTATGCCGTCGGTCGCCTCTTTCTACTCTATGTCGGATGTTGCTCCGCCGTACTCATTGCATTGGTAGTGCCAAAACAGCATGACAAGGTAAATTTCGAACCTATCTCTGTATTAACTTCGCTAATATATCATCTAGTTTATGGCTATACAGAGGACTTCGACACTGGTCTCTCGAATGAGGAACATCCGCCACCGTCCGTCGAACATGCTTCGTCATCATGTTATCATCCCCGGTAACCCACTTCGCCCCCCTTTGTAGCAAGTTCCGGCGAGAATGCTATGTCATCCTACCAGTGGGGATCCAGAAATTTAAGAATGGAGTCCAAAATTTTAATTTTCTTTTTTTAAAAATAATGAGTATACAAAAATTATAAGTTTTTTCCTTAATACATTAAGCTAAATTTAACCGTTTTTTTAAATAATGGGGCTTAGTGCATCCGCCACTGCATCCTACGATGCACCATGCAATCATGTTGAGAACCCCGAGCGCCACCGCAAAGGTCGTACCTATGCTGTCTTGGCCAAAGAATAATTGTAAGGCTTTTTGTAATTCGACGACGATGAATACGTACAATTTAGCAATATTCGACATCGCAAGTTTCAAGTTTGTAAGTACATTCCTACGTGCACCTTAGATGCTTTGCATTTGAGAGTTTCTGTTATGCGTTATTTCGATGCTATAGGTTGGACTTTGTACTCTAATATTAAATGTGGAACATTTTATGAGTTAGTTTTTGAATTTTATGCCGTTTTTACATTTTTACATCATCGTGTTGTTAGTGTTAACTCACCGGATGTTATTTTTTTGGCTTATTGAGACAGTCCTTTCGGATGTCTATTTCTTGTTTTCATTTTTTTATAGGGTTCGTGATGGATGTCACATATCAAGGTTATTTGACGTCTTTACTTAAGATTATGGAGGAATTTGACTTTGACTTTGACATTGCTTACAAGACTCTTACTGGCTCAGTAGGGTAAACCTACAATGCCCAGACAACAAAGGGTGGCAAATTCATAACCCGACACTTCGATACATTTACTAGTTTCTTGCATACAATTACTCAGGACGTAACGACACTACGTCCTGCTTAAATAAGGTTGAATTTTTATTTTTATGGTGTATGCAGACCAATATTAAGGTAAATTTGGGGTTTTAGTTTGCTCACGCTTTTGAGCATGTTGTGTGCTCAGATCGCCCACAAATTCTCAGCCCTTACATCACTCATCTTGCCGCTTGACTTTTTTCATTGACTTTTGATGTTAAACAGTTTACTTATGCTTTCTCTATGGATGGTTTAGATGTACGATGTTTGGACACGATGAG